CCGGTGACCACCGTGACCCGAAAAGGAAGAAGTGGATAAAAGATAATGATGGATGGAAGTCCAAGTGTTTTTACCCATTGCTGCTCTACTATTGCATCAACTGTGCATCCTGTTTGAGAACGATGACAAAAGCAGTGACATTAAATTGCTAAGTTTATACTCGAAAAACATCTTAAAGATGCAAGACTCAAAGGCAAATGAGACAAATTTACTGAAAGCTGTATTCTTGCATCACATGACTCCTGCTGCAGCTCTCTTCCAAGAAAACTCTACTAAAGATGCATGTTGTTATCTATGGCCTGGGGAGGACTTTGTACAAAGCAAAGTTTTCAGGAGTACTGTTGAGCACAGCAGGAGGTTTGACAAATGTTAGACTTTCTTTTTCAAAGAGAACACTTATGAATATATCAAATCCAGTGGTGTCTTAAATGCATTTTTCTTTAACACTTTATTAAATGTATATAAAGACATTCATCTGAATTCTTGGGTGTCCTGCAGGTGTTTTAAACATAATTTGTTGTCAGATGCCATCAAGAATAATAAATTATACTTAATCTATGTGTGGATGTTTTAATCAGGGCCCCAGACGTATTGCATCGCATTACAAGAGCTTGGGTAAACTCTTAATCCTTAAGACAATGTACAAAGTGGACCACAGTCCATATGTTGGACCCATTCCCAACCCACAGTCCTGCTTAACATAGTTAATGTTCATCAGTAATCCCACCCACAGGGCTGAGCTCAAGTCATTACGCTGGTAATTATCTGAGGGGTGCCAGAAAAATCCTTCATCAACTTCAAGACATAAAAACCAACCACAGCACTGCTCTTTCATGTGGAGTCAGAGTTCACTTGTTACAAAACGATTCTCAGACATTATGCAAGTAAGTGTTTATAGGAATGGAAAGTTCATTGACCACTTGAGATATTACAGCTGAAGGATACAGCTGACTAGGCCACCCATTTCACAATTTATCAACATGAACATTAATTTCAAACTGTCTGTTATGGTACAAGTGTACAACACTCCAGTAATGTTCCTTTTAATTTATGAGGTACATGGCACGAGGTCTTTTTTATTTTATTATTATTATTTTTTTAAAATCTTGAGCCATCTTGTGATTTTTTTTTAAGGGAGTTGGACATCTTATGAATAAACTTTCCTTGATAAGATTGCTTGCAATTAGTCAATTTTACATCTCATACATTTTAAATAAAAACAGTTCAGATTAACTGCTGCTGTGGTTTGAATATTCAAGACAACAACTTGAATTAAACCTTAAAAATTATTTAAAAAAATAAAATAACATTTAGAGGTGGCAGCAACCAGACATGGTAAAGAAGCACAACAATGCTCACCTGCAGGGGGAATGAAAACTACGAGACTATATGGACAGGGGCTGATGAACAGAGTGGACACCTGTGCAAAATGACAACAGGGAACAGGTGAGAGAGGGCGGGGCAAGAGCTGGGAGGCAGGAAGTGAAGGCACAGAGGACACACAAGAACAGAATCAAACACAAAATACAGAAAATAAACATAACCAATAAAGGGAATTAATCTAAAGGAGACCGCTAAAAACCACAAAGAAACATTTGCTATATAGTGCACTAAATGATGAGTCAGCCATTTGGTAGTGCTGTTTAAATCTGAACAGTTTTCTTTATTCACTACATAGCACTCTAGAAACTGGTCATGTGATGCAGTAAAAATAGTGCACCATAATGCCTGAGGTGACACTTAATCAAACATGACTCAGTATTTTCTTGCTAGATTGTTAGCTTAGTTTTTAGGCTAGCTGTGTTAGCTTAGCCTAGCATAAAAGTAAACCACACATGCCTAGCCGCGACGCTAAAATTAAGCTTTACTGCATAGTTATAAGTTTGGTATTCTGTTCAAAAATTGACAAAGTAACTTAACAGAGGTTATTGGTGAACATTTATTTGCGAGACATTTTTAACTGTCCACCATGCTGCCACGAAAGATGAGCGATAATGCAATTTGCTGTGTGCGTTTGTGCGTGTTCTTGGTTTTTGTAGCAGTAATCACTGGATGTCCGTCTGCAGCTGATGATGTTTTTAGAGCCTTCCCAATTCAAGATGGCTGCCACAGCTTATCAACCTTAGTAAAAAACAAATAAGGCTATAACTCTGTTAATTTTATAGATATTGATCTGAAATTTGTTGTGATAGTAGGTAGCTGAAACCCATCCTCAATACTAGAACAGACTGCCTCAAGGAATGCCACTTTGTAAATGTTAGTTTAGAATATTTACATTCTCAGTTCATAATTTAGGAACAAAAATGTTTTTGTATGACTTCTTTACTTGTATGTACTGTATATGTCTCAAAACTGCTTCCACTGTTTTCAATCAATGTCTTACAGTTTAAAAATAGCCAAATTATTTTTTTCTTCTGATTAAAAACAAAACAAAACAAAAAACCAACTATTGTCAATTCATTGATGTTGCTCTGTTGGTTTGTGTATTTTACATATAGTTACACAAACATCGACATATTCATCTAACAGTAGGTTTGCCTGGTTCGTTGGGCATTTATCAACTTCTTTACTCTAGAGGCAGTTCTGGTATTTGAGTTAAGCCAAGATTAAAGTAGCAGAAAGACCTTTTTTCTGACCCTTCGTCAAAGAAATAATCTCCTTGATATGTATTGTGTCCTATGTGTTTGTCTCGTGCCTGACAGAGGAGGACTTCAACAAGACACTTCTAGCAGACAGGTAGGTATTGCACAAGCCACAGTCCTAAATCACAGGGCTTTTCACAAGCTGGCAGCCGTGCCGAGACACAACAATGTTTTTTTTTCTGCTAAAATATTGCTGGAAAATGGAGACATCCAGACCATAATAATTAAACCTCTAGACTCGTACCTTAGTTTGATCCACTCTGAGGCTGGACAACATACTCATCTGCAGCCAGCCAGACACAAACTCCCTTTTCTAACCTATTATTAGCTCTTCTAAACAATACTAAGAGCTGACTGTTGTTCTCTGCTCGTTGTTGTATATTGTGGTGTAGACGTGGCTAAGAAAAGAAAAAAAAGCCTATTTTAGGAAATTATATTCATCTGATTCTGCATAATTAGAAGCCTGGGGACCAGTACAACCTCTCAGGCTAAAAAAAAAAAGAACTCTTTCTTAACTTTACCAAAGATCTGTTTTTCAATCCAGATAAACTGTGTACATGATTGTTACTCATGTCATAATATTCATAGTAGACCCATTGAATTGTGATCGTAGATACAGCAATTTTCTCAATCAGTTTCTTGAGCCCTTAGTGAAAGGTTTGGGAGAGTTTTTGGCCCAGGTACCACAGACACAGCTTTTTTTATTCTGAAAGGTCTAAATTTGAACACTACTCTTCAAGCTATGACCTTTAAGCGCTCACTGGGGCGTTTCGCAGCCAAGTGTGAATCAGCTCCTTCAAGTTAGAGGCCACGGTTCTTAACTGGAGAAAGGTGGAATGCTTGCTTTGGGTTCAGACTGAGTCTCTGTTACAAGTTCAAGTCTGGGGAGAGGGATCTCAGTCTGGAGTTCCATGCTGGACCCGTTGCCTCTGCTACCCGACCACAGACAAGCAGACGATCATGAATGGATTGATTTATGACTCGTGCTGACAAAATGAATCACACTTAGGAATTTTTCACATTTTCAAAAGCTTCAAAATGAGATAGTTTACTGAAAGTCGACAATTTATCACCTGACCTGACAGCAAGCTAGTTTTGTTCATGGTAGCACCAGTTTGAAAATAAAAATTGTATTGGTCTGTATAAAGCTTGGTGAAATGTCATTACAAATTCCAGCCCTATGTTGAAAACTTTAAGCTTTACAATAAAGATTATAGGACAGGATTTCCAGGCGAAAACCAGTCAATTTAAAAACAAATTTAAATGATTATTTCTGAAGAGATACTTGTTCGAAACAACGAGCTTTTTTAGGTCCTGAGATTGCTAGATTGTGTTTTTATGGACTCATTTTTATCTCAATTTTGCCAAAAATCTACATTTTCATGTTTTTTGCAACTCATTTTGCCAGCATGGGTCATATATATTGGACTATCAAGTAAATATTTTGTCATACAAGTACAATGTCTTGAAATATTTTTGTACATTCTTATGGTGTTTATTATATTAAATTGTAATTCGAATCATAAATTTGTAAAAATAAATAAATACCTAGATACTTAAGGCAACACATGTTCAAATTACACATATTGTTCTTGTTTTCCTTTAAAAACACAAATAATAAGGATCATAAATACACAATTGTTAAATTCTATCATAAAAAGTAGTAAAATGTTAACAGAAAATTAAAATATATATACTGAAATGTTTTTTAATACCTTGTGACTGATGAATACCGGTACTTTTCTCAAACTTATATAAAAATGTTTCCTAAATAGGCAGCATAAAAAAACAAAAATACACATTGTATATTTCACATTTTATTTAGTTTTGCTCCTTTCACGTCAAAATTCAGACAAAAACTGAAATGCTCGTACTGTCCGGTATCGTTTGGAGTTGGACAGCACAGCCACTGACCGAGGCATTTGCACGTGCGCACACAGATTTGTCCTGATGGCGTCACAAACATCATGAATGATTACTGAACAGACGTACATCTGCTGTTTTCAGCCTGAATTAAACAGATAAATAGACAAAGAGTTGGAACAACAGGCTTCTGAAAAATAAGAAGCAAACAAAGAATCAGTCTCTTTGGTCATTCAAAAAAAAAAAAAAGAGAGGAGAAAATTAGGAAATACTGACTGATGATTATCTGTTAAATGACAACACTGTTCGACACCATGAGCAGTAAGAACAAACATCGGGTGCTTTGAGCATGAACTTTGATGTTTTGAGCCACTATGGCCATGGCTGCCTCAGGTCAGAGGAGTCGACAGGGGAGAGGGCGGACTCCAGAGACCATCTCATCACCATCAAACTGGTTGGCCCATGTGAGTGTGCTACTTGTGGCTCCTTGGACTGATTTAAGTCCTTTGGATGAAAGACAAAATGTTTCAACACAAAGAAACCATCCAGAGGACCTGACTTGGATCGGGTGCTTTCGTTTTACAGTCACTAAAATCTTTTCCTCAACTTGCATCCATCCTTTCTCATCTCGGGCACAGCGGTAACTTTTATGAGGATACAGGCTCCTTTTCCACTGATGGAAAGGCCATTTTATGGCTAAACCTCAGTGACGACTTTGGATTGTGTAAATATGACTTACAGTGGCACCTGCTGCAGACCAATACGTAGACGAGTTTTAGCCGAAATACTTTGCCCACTTTGTCTTTCGCATCAACCAAACTTGCATTGCAACTTCCAGATGTTTGCTCCCATCACTGACCAACATTCACATAAAATCTGGGGACGTTTGACAGCCACACTGTCACAGATGGTTTCAAGTTATTACATCTACAAGTTTTCAGTTAGAGAATACGTGCAAAATGGTCTGTGATCAAAGACTTGGCTCAGCAGCCAGATGTACTGCATGAAAACCTGAGTATATGGAGGGAAAACCCTAATTTGTTGTCTGCAATCATCACTGCCCTGTAGACAGACACGGTTACCCACGTCAGTTTAGTGAACTGGGGCAGTGATCAGATTTTAAAACTCTAAACTTCTGGACAACATACTCCATTTTCTTTCAGAGCGGAGCATTTCTGAGGAAAATGGGAACTCGACGCATCTTTGTGAATATAAAAAAAACCCCTGCAGGTTTGAAATATAATTTAGGCAAATTATGAGTGACAGATGACTGCATACAAAACTCTGGAAACAGAAGACTGGTTGAAAGACAGACCAACATTGTCGCACTCTAGTTTAAGCCAAAAACAAGGTACACAACTTGGTAACTCTTTAAATACTTCAGTTTTTATCTACAATTAATGTATTATCCAGTATATAAGTTAGTTCAAAATACACATTTTGAGTCCAAATAACCATATTCCCACATTATGGTCAGTTTATGGCACAGGTCTAACAGCATTAAAACATTTCAAACTGTCGTACGACTGAAGATTCAGAGCAAAAAGCCAGAACAGTTCAAGACGTCTTAGATTTGAGCTAAATTTATATGCAAACACTTGATTGTAGAATGATAAGTTTTCACACCGATTTATTTTCCAGTTGAAGTGATTTCTGTAACGAGGTGCTGTATTCTCTCTCTAACAGTGCACAGTAAACACATCTTTGATTTGGATCCTTAAAGTTGAGCGATTTGCATCAACTTCACGTATGTTACATAAAGATGTTCTGGGGTTTGAATAACAGTGTAGAACACGTGAAATAATGGACTTTCCACAAAAGAAAACTAAGACAGAAAGGTGTAAACTCTTGGCACGTAACATCAGCCGTCTTCTGCTTTCCCGCTCCGTGTCGGATCACATTCCGTCTGGACGAGTCCGGTATGATATTCAGTCCACGTGCCCTCTCGGCACCAGTATTTATGGCTAAATGCTGGTCAGTCATTTTTAGGATGGTTCCAACCTTGTGCTGTCTTTTATGTACCACCAACAGAAGTATTTTCTGAACCCATGTGGTCACAGTTCAGGCAGGAACTCTTGGCATCTTTTGCCTGTTTTTCCTCTGAAGACTTTCAGACGAGCTTATTTGGTGGTCGTCCATCTGAACGTAAAGGAAGTCCTTACATTCAACTCTCAACTCGGTCTTCTAAAAAACAACCTCAGCAGTTCCAGTTTAGAATCAGTTCCAGGGCGTCCCCCCAACGATCTTCCCTTCCTACTGGACGCACACATACTTTTTCCACCAGGACTTGGACAGCATCTTCATTTTGTCTGCCGTGCTGCGGACCTTCCTCTCTCGCCGCGCCCTCCTGTCGGAGTGTCTCAGCCCCACGGAGATGGCGGCGTCGAACACCTCCTTCAGATTCTTCTGCGTCAGCGCAGAGCACTCCACGTACATGACGGCCCCCACTTTCTCCGCCAGCGCTCTGGCGTCCTCCTCAGGAACGGGCTTCTCCCTCCGCCTCGCCAGATCGATCAGCACTTTGACGTCCTCCCGCAGGTCGCACTGCGTCCCCACCAGGAGGATGGGGGTGAGAGGGCAGCGGCGGCGGATCTCGGGGACCCACTTCTCCCAGACGTTCTGAAAGGAGGCGGGGCTGACCACGCTGAAGCAGAGCAGCAGGGCATCAGTTCGGCTGTAGCAGAAGTGGCGGAGTTTGTCAAACTCATCCTGATGGACAAAGAGAAAGATACTGAGCAAAGGTTGTTGTCAGAAAACTCACAAAGATCTTACGTTTTGTTCAGTCAAAGCCTTCATTATTGCTCACAGGCATAATGGACATGATGGACATAGGTAGGCAACAACAACAACAAAAAATAAAGAGTATAACTCAACCAATTTCATAAATATTAAGCTAACATTTGGTGTTGTAGTAGTTGAGTCATTAGTGCAAGCTACAAGTGCTAACTCATCATAAAAGGCATGAGAAAAATGTAAATTTTGGGATTTGACCAAAATAACAATAAAAATGGTAAATGGACTGTACTTATATAGTGTCTTTCTATCTTATCAAGACACTCAAAGCAGTTTACACTACAATCTGTCCTCATTTACCCATTCATACAGCACTCTACTAGATCTCTACAAATAATAATCAGAGCTTTATCACATTCATACATCAATGGGACACACGTTGTAGGCAATGAGGAGTTCAGTGTCTTGCCTAGGGACACTTCGGCATGTGACTACTGGTGGAATCAAACCCCCAACTCTTGCATTAGAGGACGACTGCTCTAAACACTCAGCCACAGCCGCCCTATAACACCGCCATTACTCGACATGAGAGGATCCTGGAATAAAATGCTGCTGCTGATATGCAATCCTTCAAGGTACACCAGGTCTTTCATTCATCTATCCATTATCTATCTGCTTCTTCCTTTCTGGGTCGCCAGAGTCACTGTGTGAGAAGCAGAGTACACCCATGACTGGTTGAAAGTCCATCACAGGGTCACAATGAGACAAATATTCACACTCTCGCTCACACCTAGGGACAATTTAGCGTTACCAATTAGCCTAAAGAAACCGGAGCACCTGGAGAAATCACACGCATGCAGACAGAACATGCAAACTCCACCCAGAAAAGTCCCAAGCCTGGATTCGATCTGGCAACCTTCTCACCGAGAGGCAACATCTCTACCAACTGCGCCGCCCTGGTCTTTAATTACTGCTCTTTTTCTCACAGTGCAGAAAAGAGAACTGTGCCAGCAGTTGTTCAATAACAACCTGCATAAACAGTGTTTATATACACAGACAGACCCCGCCCATTCATTTAGCTCATCTGCAGTAAATCTTTAAAATTAACACATTGGAGCCACACGGCTTTGACAGAATGACTCTCCCACCTCCTCGAGCACACAGAATAAACTCTTTGAGTTTAACCCTCTTCTTTCTCTGAATCCTTCCCGTCACAATCTGATCCCCAAACACAGCTGGAACCTTCTAGACACTGAATCTTGAGGCGAACACGTCTCCTGACGCGAGTCCGTCAGCTTTTCTCAGTCATAAACAACGCTGGCCGTCGGATTTGATGACAGCTCCTCTCATCATCTCTCCCCCGTCAGCTTCGTTGGCACACCTCGACTAAACCCTCTCACTCCCCTCCCTCAGAATATTGCATCAGTTCAGTGTTTGTCGATTTTATCTACCCTCATTTGCCAGAGCTTGTCTGTGTGTGAGGTTTCTGACGCCGAGTACAGCTTGGAGCGCACCGTGAGGTTTTACACGTATTAGCGTTTGCTCTAAAGCCTCAATTCCAAAGAACAAGCCATCTACGAGTCTGGTTCGGAACTGGCGGCGCCCACGCAGCTTTTTTCAATGTCAAATATGCTGCTCCTGGGGCAGGGAGAAACACTGAGCAGGATTAGAAAACACCCCCTCCTTTAGGCCCCAGAAATGTAAAAATCTGTTTTGACAAACCAGTTATTTAAAAAAAGATAATTCATACATTTACCCAGAACACTTTGCATGTGTTCTTTACAAAAACTGGCAGATACAAGTTGTGTGTTTACAGTGACGGTCAGATGGAGTGAAAATAAAACCTGAAAAGTCCTTTAGATGTTGATGGATTTCAACTGAGCGAGGCCAAAATCGAATATTACAAGAAGGAGGTGGTTAAAAAAAACAAAGTCAAGGTACATATTTACTCCCAATCTATGCCTAATCCATATGTTTTCAGTAAGGATGCATGATATTATCGGCATGGTATCGGTATCGACTGATATTAGTGTTAAAATTAAATATCGGCTATCGGCCATTCCATCAAAAAAAACAAACAGATATATAATATCCAAGTATATTCAAATATAATCCAAGTTGAAGCATTACATCAATTTCAGCCCCCTTTTTGGCATCTGCATTTGTTATCAGGCCAAATTGACAAAGACCATGCAGAATAATGCAGTAGTTTAATTCCACAGCAGAGAAAGCTATGTAGTCTCTGTAAGTAGGTCTAGGAAGAAAAGTACTGGAATTTGTATCAGTATCGGTTATCAGCCAAATAAGTTATAACATATTGACATATCGGATATCAGCTAAAAATTCAATATCGTGCATCCCTGGTTTTCAGACCAGGCGTTTAAACTCTTTGCCTTTTCCAGCTCTTAAGTGTCAACATGTAGGTCTGTCACAATAAATCAATAAATCGCATGATAAATGAAAATCATCAACCTCATTTTCATTTATCAGCTTTATTGTTTCTTTGTGTCTCTCTCTTTTTACTGAAACCATCCAAGATCACATTTTTGGATTGTTAACAGCAGCTAAGCTATGAGCTAAGCTAACAGGCAGGCTGACTTCTGGAAAAAACCTCCGTCTTGTCGAAGCTCCAAAATTTACGGTTGCAACCCGTGCCTTAGTCTAAAAAGTTGTTTTTCTCTGCAAAAGAAGCTGAGAACTTGTTTACTGATGTTTTTTTTAAATTAAAACCAACAAAAGATTTGTGTGACAAATGCTATGCTAAAGATCCTGATGAATGCTCAATGCTATGCTTTGCTATAGCTAGCTACGCTAAAGAGCTCAAAGCACACCGAGCATCTGCCATTTTGAGAACAGAAAAACAGGAACGCAAGACAGCCCATGTCATGTCAAGGGGCCTCCCTTCCATTTTTCTTAAAAAGATACGCTGCTCGCTCCCTCACTATCCATCCTTCAGTTCAAACAGTCTTATACTGCCATCCAGTGTTCAAAAAAGGTACTACACACAAAATTAACAAACATTTCTTCTTGAGCTTGACAATTACTAATTATTGTCAGATTTCAAACAATATTATCGGTTATCGCAATAATTTCTGAGACAATTAATCGCCCAGTAAAATTTGTTATCACGACAGGCCTATCAACATGTTCATATTATGTTACTGTTCGAGAGATCTGCCCATAAGTTATAATGAAAAATGTATACATTTACATTTAAAGTCAAACTTTGCTGAATTGTTTCAAGGAAAGCCTTGAAACAATTCACTATGCAACTCGTTTGGTATAAATATGTCTAAAAACGACATGTTTAGGCTAAATCTGAGCTAAAAATGGAAGAGCAGAGTCTCAACTTGATGTGACATAAACATCTATAGTTAGATGAGATGGGTGCCCGTTTCAGGGATCAAACCAGTCAGCTCGTATCTCGATGATCTAACCAGGCAGAGATGAAGTCGTGCTCCCAGAATACACTGCAGCTCCATAAATTATCTGCATGTGTTCAGGTTAGCAGTTATGACTCATGCCAAATAATTATCATTTGAGTTTTATTACAGATATAAACTTAACTCTCCTCCTCTGCTCTCCTGGAGGCAGAGTGCCGCCCAAACAGCTTGGCAAGTCTGCGACGCGTTACATGAAATGTGTTCATCTGCTAATTTAACAGGAAAATACAGAAATATGTTCAGGTTTACCAAAATTTTCTCCACGTTTACCTCCCAACTGGTTTTTATAAATTGATGTTTTACTGTAATACTGCAAATATATTGTGCAGAGGATTTGAGTATTTTATGTAGAATGTAAGCAGTAAATAAAGCTGCAAGGTCTAAACTGCTTAGGCGAAATGCTACCAAAACTTTATTATAAAGTGATAACTGAGATCTTTTAAAATGGAGCAATTAATATCTTACCTGATGTAGATAGAACATTGACCGATTCCCAGTTATAAATAAATAAATAAAAAGTTTAATTTTGATTGGACAGACAAGTTGGGCCAAGGCTGAAGTGGATTGCTGCCATCTTAAAGCAACAATAATTTACAAAGATATCTGTGGCAGCAGCAGCTAGCATTTTATTATTATTATTATTATTATTGTATCTGTAGAAATAACCACATGATGCAAAACTGGCAGCTGTGTAAAGGTTTGCGAAAACCATCGGTGTAAACTATTGATATTTTGGAGACCGCAAGCCACACCAAGCTCGGCTCTGTTTGGACTAGAGCTAAACTAAACCAACTAAATAGCTATTCACAACTCTTAAGATATTAATTGATCAGAATCTTTGCACAGAGCCTTTACTAATGTCATGAATCATTATTTTAAGACTTTAAAGCAAGTGTGCTGGCGAAATGAGCCACAACACACCAACACTTTATTTATATAAGAACAACTCCAGCTAGTGATCCCAGTAACTAAAATAGCAAATAGTTTCCCCAATCTACTTTAAAATCACAGTTTTATAACATGTATGTCTTTAAAAACAATCTTTTTAATTTCCTTTAAAATTGGCAAACAAAAAAAAAAAAAAATTCTGTCGACTGCAACAGTGCTAGGAAATCCCTTCGTATAATGTTTGGTGTCATTGTGACGTTTGGCTAGGCCTTATTTTAAATCTAGGGCTGGAGTTCCTGATGACGTCTCTCCAGACCAATAAAAATCTAAATTTTCAACCCGGCGCTCTCGTAAACAAGACTAACTTGTTGCCAGGTGATGAGCTGCCAAAGTTGAACTCATTACATTGTCATTCAACCATTTTGAAGCTCCTGAGATGGAGAATAAGGAGCATTAAGTGTAGAACCACTAGACTGAGGAACAGCTTCTACCCTGAACCTGTTAATAAATCCCTCTCCTGATGTTTCAGTCCAGACCACAGCTGCATCAACCAGCCGGCACGCTAAAATGTGCTGCGTTCAAAGGCCTGCAGGAGCTGCTGGAAGGTCACATGATGAGCGTGTGCACAACACTCACCTGTCCTGCAGTGTCGCACAGCTGCAGCCTCACCGGGCTCCCGTCCACCTGAACCACAGCTGCAGACAGACAAAAACAGGATTTTAACCCTCTGCACGCTGCGTTCACAGCCCAACAACAACCTGACGGTTAAAAACACGACGACGACCCCCCCCCCCCCCCAACACACACACACACACACACTCTCTTCCCGTCTTTATCGAGGCCATAACTCTTTACGGTCTCTTGGACTTTGTTCCTTGCTACGTTTTGGCAGGCGCCTCTCCGAGATGCTCCAATGAGGAGGGCAACAAAAACTAAAACAACAAAGAAGCAGATTGTGTTTACACGGTAACTCTTCTGTTTTCAGACTGGGACAGTGGATGAGTCATCGCTCGGCCAGTTTCATAACATTCACTCTACAGAAGGCTTGAGGGTGTTTTATGACGCAGAGGGCGGCTGGTCGTGCCACCTGATCAGAAAGACTCGCTGGAACGTTTCCTGCAGTCGGACAGAGATCAGAAACTCCTGTCCTCTCCTCTGCCACCTGTGGGATTGCGTCACCGCCCAGAAGTCTGCTCTCAAGGAGACCGCTGTGAATCCGGGCGCCGAGAGGTGACATCACTGCTGAGGGCCCCCAAACGGCACAATAAGTCCCTGTCAGCGCAGCGGCGAAAGACAATCTCCGCCTCAGAGCCTCTGCAACAGATGTGCCCATTCCAGCGTGGAGACGAGGGCTCACGGGTCGGGGCCCACAACAATGGGCCGAGTTGTGCAATTCAAAACCTCTGAACCGGAGCGACTTTTCTCTGAGGGCGGTGTGTGTGTTCATATGAAGTGGCCTTTTTTTTTTGTGTGAGAAGGTTTTTTTTTGTCTATGCTCGTCTCTGGCAGAAAACCAAGACTAGAAGAGTTCTGAAGAAATTTTAGAAAAGCACAACTCAAACCGCCAACAGAGACAGACTCTTGTTCTGAAACTCCAGGTTGATTACTTTTGTCTTGAAATATTGAATTCTGAGAACGTTGTTTTATAAACCTCTTAAAAAAGGACGCGTTTTGTGAAAGCCAACGTTCCAGGTACTTGGGTTACCATGGTGATTCCCACCTTTTTCCTCAACTAAATTACACAGTTGCTATAGGAGTCGGTCACACATGTTGAATTTAATGTTTTGTAGATTCTTCACTTGTTCTGAATTGAATCTTGTTCAAATTCAAAGGAAGTGTCTATGGAAGACTTTCTCTGCTTCTGGGATGATTTGAGAGAGAACTATGGGTCGTCAGAGACACGCTGAGGGAAAGAGGACAACGTTCTATGTTCTCATGTCTAAACTGTATAAAAATGGGAGTAAAGAGAGTTGGTTTGCAAAACTTTTATACAGCATCACTCTGTAATTTGATCAGTCTCCCTGAAACACCATGACCCTTCAACCTTAAAAACTATTACATTTAATAAAACACCAGCTCAACTTTCCACGACCCGGTTACATTTTAAACAAAGTTTCTACAGTAAAGTCTGCCTAAGCTGCAGAACTCCACAGAAGACTGAGTCAACCCCCCCCCCCCCCCCCCAAAAACCGCGCCTCCCCCCCCCCCCCCCTCCCCTCAAACCAACACATTATTGAGGAACTTGTAGAATTTTCTAGAAAGTCTCCATCAAATGTACAAACATGCAAATCTTTTTTTAAGCTGAACTTTGTGACAAAAACGAAATAATGGGAAAATACCCAACTTTAACTCTTTATCCTGATTTAGTAAATGTTGTGCTCGTGGACCAATAAAAGATGGAGAACAGGTGAGTTATTTAAACCATGCTGTGATGAGTTCAAGACAAATGTTGCACAAACTGAGCTTGCAGGGGCGCGTCGGTTCGGTGGAACCGGGTCAAATGGATCAGGGCGCACACCTGAGGAGCGCACTGTCATGCGGGGGGGGCTAGGAGGAGGATCTGGGTGGGGTGGGCTCCATGTAAACATACAATGCGATTTATTGTAAAATTAAAGACGAGCTGCAGAGTTTGGACCTACCAGAGAAGTCATCGAAGGCGGTGGGGACATATCTGGTGGGGTAGCCGTTGGTGGTGTAGCTGACCACCAGGCTGGTCTTCCCCACCGCCCCGTCACCCAGCAGGACGCACTTCAGCAGCCGCTCCTGGTTCTGACCCGGCCGGGCGGCTTGGGCTTTGTGCGGCGGCACCGGGGGGGCCATGATGACGGTCCGACCCTGGTCCATGGCTGCGGGGGACATTCAGAGACAACCCGCGCTGCACGGCGGCACACCTCCCGACATGAGAACAGATCTCAGTCCCTACAATCCTTTCTGTTTCTGAACAAGCCTCTCCTTCTTCTGCGCTGCTGCCAGAGCTGATCCAACAGAACCTCTGACAAGATCTACATCCTGCAGGACTCAGCTGGAGGCCGGGCCAAGCACACTTATGTTACTGATGATTTGACTAAACCCTCCCACTGCACCTCCCTGCAGAGAGGGGGGGCGAGTCCACCAAAGTCCACGGGGAGGAGGTCTAAGGTCTGAGGAGAGGGGGGTTTGAGTCCACAGGGAGGAGGTCTGAGGTCTTGAGTCCACAGGGAGGAGGTCTAAAGTCTGAGGAGAAGAGGTCTGAGTCCACAGGGGGGGTCTATGGCAGAGGGCTGCCACCTCCATGACAAAAAGAGTAATTTCTGCTCCTTTGTTCTTAATGTTCCGCCACAAAACCTGCTACAACTGTGATTATCAAGTGGTGGCCCATGGGCCATGTCAAGTTGTTGGAGAGGGGCTTTTTGGGCCAGTAGCTAGTGGTTTACTATTTTTGACAGTGCTTTGTTGATTTTCACTTTTGTTCAGCTTCTTTTAGCTTTAACATCAATTTCAGCTTCTCCAGGTCCAGTTCCCCCTCCATCTAGAAGTTTCTATTTTCTTCAGACCAGGGGTCTGCAACCTGCGGCTCTGGGGCCGCATGCAGCTCTTTGGTCCCGCTGCAGTGGTTCTTTTGAAGTTCAGCGTTTTATTTTTTTGTAAATGAATAAAAACTTTTTTTTTTCTGTTTACATGAATCTAGTCTTTTCTTTTGACTTAAAATGTACAAATCAAGGTTTCTTTGTCATTTATTGTCAAAAATATCAATAAATGTTTACAGTTATTGGATATTTTTTGTTTTATAACGTCGCCCCTAAAATTAGCAGAACACTAGCTAAAAGCTAATAAGTATAAGGCTAGCTAAAAACTAAAAATGAGAAGAACACTAGACTCACTAAACGCTAAAGGAAGCAAAACACTAGCTAACAGTAACAAAACATTAGCTGAAAGTTGTGAAACACTAGCTAAAAAGGCAAAAAGTTATTGCCAAAAGTAACCAAACACTGGCTAAAATAGAGCTCAACATTAGCCAGAAACTAAAAGTTGCTAAATGGCAGCTACAATAGCTAGCAAATATAAAAAAATAATTAAAAAAAAGCTAGCAGAACAATAACTAAAATTAGTTTTAAAAATACCTAAAAGGGAGCAAAAACACTATATAAAAGCTAACCAAAATAAAGTTCTAGCTCAAAGCTAAAACCCTGGCAAAATTGAGCAAAAGCTACATGTTAACAAAGCACTAGCTAAATTATAGCTAAATGTTCAAAACTTATAGCTAGAGCAGAAAGGGGCTATCTAAAAGTAGAAGACTAGTTTAAAGCTGGGGGGGGGGGGTGTACGCCACAAACACTGTTTATAGTGGGAGTGGTGTGCTGCTGACCTCAACTCAAATGTTGTGGGTCGGTGGGCAGAATACTTTGAAGACCTCCTCAATCCCACCGGCACGTCTTCCACTGAGGAAGCGGAGCCTGGGGACTCTGGGTCGGGCTCTCAAATCTCTGGTGCTGAGGTTGAGGTGGTTAAAAAGCTCCTCAGTGGCAGGGCCCCAGGGGTGGATGAGATTCGCCCGGAGTTCCTTAAGGCTCTGGATGTTGTAGGGTTGTGTTGGCTTACGCGACTCTGCAATATTGCGTGGACTTCGGGGGAAGTTCCCCTGGATTGGCGGATTGAGGTGGTGGTCCTCCTATTCAAAAAGGGGGACCGTAGAGTGTGTTCCAACTATAGGGGAATCACGCTCTTAAGCCTCCCTGGTAAGGTCTATTCGGGGGTTCTGGAGAGGAGGGTCCGTCGGATAGTCGAACCTCAGATTCAGGAGGAGCAGTGCGGTTTTCATCCTGGCCGTGGAACACTGGACCAGCTCTACACTAAATCAGGTCTCTCTTGTAAATGAGTCCTCGAGGCTCAATGGGATTTACCTGTATAAATAAAGGTTGATTGATACACTCTCAGCAGGGTCCTGGAGGGTGCGTGGGAGTTTGCCCAACCAGTCTACATGTGCTTTGTGGACTTGGAGAAGGTGTTCGACCACGTCTCTCGGGGAACCCTGTGGGGGGTACTCTGGGAGTATGGGGTACCGGGCCCTTTGATACGGGCTGTTAGGTCCCTGTATGACCGGTGTCAGAGCCTGGTCCACATCGCCGGCAGTAAGTCGGGCTTGTTCCCGGTGAGAGTTGGACTCCGCCAAGGTTGCCCTTTGTCACCGATTCTGTTCATAACTTTTATGGACAGAATTTCTAGGCGCAGCCAAGGTGTTGAGGGGATCCGTTTTGGTGGCCTTAGGATCGCGTCTCTGCTTTTTGCAGATGTTGTGGTCTTATTGGCTTCATCAGATCGTGAGCTACAGCTTTCGCTGGAGCGGTTCGCAGCCGAATGCGATGCGGCTGGGATGAAGATCAGTTCCTCCAAATCCGAGGCCATGGTCTTGAGCCGGAAAAGGGTAGAGTGCCCTCTCCGGGTCAGGGAGGAGGTCCTGCCCCAAGTGGAGGAGTTCAAGTATCTTGGGGTCTTGTTCACGAATGAGGGAAAAATGGAGTGTGAGATCGATAGGCAGATAGGTGCAGCGTCTGCAGTGAAGCAGGCGCTGTACAGGTCTGTCGTGGTGAAGAGAGAGCTGAGTCAAAAGGTGAAGCTCTCAATTTACCGATCGATCTACGTTCCTACCCTCATCTATGGTCATGAGCTTTGGGTTGTGACCAAAAGAACGAGATCTCGGATACAAGCGGCCGAAATGAGTTTTCTCTGCAGGATGTCTGGGCTCTCCCTCCGAGATAGGGTGAGAAGCTCGATCATCCGGGAGTAGAGTACTACTCAGAGTAGAGCCGCTGCTTCTCCACGTCGAGAGGAGCCAGTTGAGGTGGCTCAGGCATCTGGTTAGGATGCCTTCCTGGTGAGGTGTTCCGAACACGTCCCACCAGGAGGAGGCCCAGAGGAAGACCCAGGACACGCTGGAGGGACTATGTTTCTTGGCTGGCCTGGGAACGCCTCGGGATTCCCCCGGAAGAGCTGGCCCAAGTGGCTGGGGAGAGGGAAGTCTGGGCCTCCCTACTTAGGCTGCTACCCCCGCGAACCGACTCCGGATAAGCGGAAGAAAACGGATGGATGGATGGTTTAAAGCTAAAAGCAGCAGACCATTAGCTAAAACAAAAACTGCATTAGAAGCTAAAAATAAAAGTATTAACTGAAGCAGATTTCAAAGAAACGTTTTGAAGCATTTGAAAGGACCTCAACAGATTTCTATGGAGACATTTCTAAATAAATATTTTCAAAAGTAAAAAAAAAACACCCACCATCTAAAAGAGCTGAACGTTTTGATGTATTAACAGCTAAAGTAACACTTTAGCTGTTAATACATCAAAACGTAGTGATTGATTGATTGATTGAATGGAAAAAATATATAGAAGTAACTAGATTGCAAAATCATACTGAGAATATTAAACAGGAAACTAATATTGCAATAATATTGATTAATGCCGATTCATCCATGTAATCCCTTTGGTTGAATGTAGTTATAAGGTCAGTGCGTTTGAGCTCCTGAAGACAAGTCTGGACTTGTCTTCTCTGAAAGCTTGAGGTTAATTTTCAACATGTTGAACTCACTCTGACCCACTTTAAACGGAGCTGACGGGTTAGAGTCACAACCTAAAATTAGTCAAGACAACTAAGTGCATGATCTAGAGATGAATGAAAATGTCAACGTGACTTTTTTCTTTAGGCCTTTCAAAAAAAAAAAAACAACTTTCAGTTCACTTTTCAAAAACTTGACCTCTGCCGCCACCTAGTGGCCAAAGCAGCAATGACCTTTTGACAAGTCAACTATTTTTAAAACAGCAGCTGTTATCAAAGTGCTAGACAATGAGTAAAATTAATGAAAAAAAACAAAAAACAGTAATGATACTGAAAATTAAAAGCATTAAATAGAAAACATAAAAACAGAACAAATACTAAATCAATTCACACTGTGTGAAATGCCATAAACAAGTTTTAAAGTCATTGAATTGATAATAGGATGTAAAAGGCTGACATGATTCTAAAAAAAACACGTTCCTGTGTGGATGGCACCTCAAAGCTCAATGTTACGGTAACTGTTCAGAAATTTAGAAAAGTCCTGCAAAATCTCAAGTCAGTGAATTCATTATAACTCATCAAAATCAACGTTTACAAGTAAAAATGAGAGAATAGATGAGCTGGTGACTCGGTGGTCTGTCTGCATGCGAGAGATCATGGGATGATTTGTTCCTTGAACTGTAGCGTTTCAGTCCATGTTTCTGGATGCAGAGGTGGATTACTCCGTTCATCATGACGACTTAGTTTAACGAGATGTTTCCAAAAGTCGTGCAGATCCAGGAATGTTTTTTTATCTTCTAAACCAACAAGTTTGAAGTACTGTCTACATGTAAAAAAAAAAAAAAAAACATTCATCACACCATAAATTTGTTTAGTTTTTTATTGTTTTTCTCCACCACCCAAGGTTAAATAGCTGCTTTCCAGAATATAAAATAATTGGTGTAGCACTGTAAAGCATATCACTGTTGATTTTAAAACCACCAAAAGTCACCTTCGTGTTTGGATTTACAACCGTATGTCCAAAAGTATTCAAATATAAATAAAAACAGAGCAAGATGCAAACCTTTTCAACCCTGTTAACCATTAAAAAAAAAAAAAAACTTAAAGCCAACAAAATAAAATGCTCAAATTAAAAGAACTGGTTTTAGAAAACATGAGGCTCATTTTAAAATTTGTTGGGAAAACAGATGCATAAAGAAATGAAAGCCTTCAAGTCAATAAAAACACTAACAAGGCAAAATAAAAATAAACCTCAAAATTTAGATAATTTTTGAAACGACAGACCTGAACTGTCCAGTTTATCCATCCGTCATCGCTGTGTGATGATGGAACATGGTGCTGCCGTGGAGTCCCTGTTTTCACAGAAACACTTGCTTATTTCAGCAAGATATTCACAACTCCACGTGTTCAAAGAATAACTCAGCTCTTTTCAAGTGGGGTTCAGTAGAGGGGTTGTGAACAGGTATCATCATACCTGCTGCAGACAGTTCTTTGACTTTTGGAGAAATATTTAGTTCAGATTGGGTTGATGAGCTAATGGCTAGTCTGAGCGGAGCCAAGTAAAATGTGGGTTACTGTCGTCCTAATGCAACTTCATCCTCAAAAAGTTTTAGAGCGCTTCTTGTGAATGCCATTTTATAAAAACCTTTATTTTGTTGGTAATTTTGCATTAGTTATTTGTTATGGCGTTCCTGCAAGAAGTCCCTCGTGAAATACTTATTCCTACAAAGTCATCCTACCTGCACTGTTATATTCTACCGTTGTTGTTTACCATATTTTTTTTTGGACCTTGTAAATATATTTCTTTTTCACTTTTTTAGGATTTTATTTTGTACCCTTAATGAATGCTTTAGTATTTCTTGTTTTTAGCGAGTCAAATCGGTTCTTCTCATCCTAATAATATCATTGCATTGTTAACCTGCATACGACAAATAAACACAACATTACAATGATGCTCTGATAGTGCTACAGCTAGGTGCTGCCGCAGCTATTTACACTTGCAAATGACCATTGAGATCTAGGTAAAAATTAGGGTCAAGCATAAATGAAAGCAATTTAAAGAATTATATCGTGTTGAGGATGGAGTCAAGACTGAAGCCTTGTGGGTCATTTTGACCCCATAGGTAGCAGGAGGGTTAAAGCTACAAGCAATTTGCTTTGGTCTATTATTTATACAATTAAAAATAATAATTTTCCATTTATTTATTATTATTACTACTTGGACTAGTTATTAGCCCATCAATCTGGTCAGAATTAAACTGCTTCTCCAAGCTGAGGCCATTCAAAGAACTGCCTACAACAGGTAAGATACCATTTATTATCTTTTAACAGAACCCAGCTTCTAAAGATCTGAACTATAGTGATGAACTCATCCCTCAGATCTGTCACGTGTACAAATGTTTTGACATAAAAACCAACCTTTTGAGCAGTTGAAGAGAGGGACAGATTGTGTTTCTACACTGCACCAACTGGTTTCAGATGTTCCTTACTGCGTACAGAGTACAAATGATGCAACTTTCAACAAATATATTGCTAAAATCCCTCTCAAAGTACGTATATACACTATTTAAATAAAGATTTGGAGTCTAAAGTAGTTTCTTTAGTACTTAACAGCAGGTCATGAAACATGGAAATCACTGTACTGGTTTTATTTTACATTTTCAAAGCCAGCCAACATGTTGAGTTGAATTTCCCCACCACAGCGTGACCCAGTTCAAACTACCTTGAGTACACTTCCATTCATGGTACAGTAAATATGGTAAAAAAAAAAAAAAAAGTCACGAAGACATTCAAGACGACATGTTTTGGTTTTTGGCTGACATGCCATCAAGTTGCATGGATCATACCTGCCAACGCATCTAGGCTTCTCCTCTGGGTTACCATGGCAACAAAAGTTTTAAAGCATCGACTAATAAAAGCATAGTATCCTGAATCGTTTTATTATTCCTGAAGCCGATTCGCTTGCAGTTCTGTGAAACACTGTTCTCCGGGAAACGATGGTCCGGCGGGTTTAAGAGGTGGTTCTTCGAATCAAATCCTGCAGTTCTAAAAAAGGCACCTGCTGCGTCTCACGGCTTCACGCTTCGTCCACAGCTGGAGGAGAGCTCATGAGGAGCACTGAGATGATCTGTGTGAAGACGTTCCTTCACTTATGGTCCGTTTGCCCATCTGAAGACGGATGTCTTTCCTCTTAATGATCTGCTGAACAATCGCAGTTTATCTTTGACGATTGTTTATGAGGGGAAAGCATCAGGTGATTGTGAAAAGAATAGAAAATGCGTGAACGAAAGTTAAGCTGTGGTAAAAATAAAAAATAAAAGATGGTGGAAAACGGCATCAATTCAGAGCTTTTCTTCAGGAACATCTCACACAAACAGCTGTGTTCGTTTCATCGTCGTCAGTTTTATACGGTCGTGACAAAAAGCGACCCCTTTTTTTTTTCCATCCTCTCCGCCGTTGTCTGGGAGACGAGTTTACTCTCGTGGTCTTGGAACCACATTTGGACTACAGCTCTTACTACAGATGTTTTAACACATATTTAAAAACTCTTTCCAAAAAACGGTGTTCCCTTCTGACATCAGCACCAAGAGTTTCAATCAGGACTCCTCTGACTCGTATAAATCCATCACCTTCGGCTTAAATACAGTTAGAGTGTACAGTACCATGCATCCTCCTCCTCGTTGCTCTTTTAAATCACTTCTTTTTAGTTCTCTGGTCTCTGGAGCACCACCCTCTGAGGACAGGCTGCTGAGTCAGTCTGTAGTTTCTCTAAAGTTGTTTTCCACAAGCATTTACTGGGCTTTAGGTTTGGCGCCACCTGGAGTTGTATCGGGAGGAGGACCGCCGCCCTGGACAAGTCTTCGCAGACTGAGGAAGACAGAGATTGGGTCAGTACCAGTACTGCATTAAGAAGCTCTTACGTGCCCTTCTGTGAACAGGAGAGCCTCCTGTTCCATCATGATTAATGCCACTACCAACTCTGAAGTCACACACTGTAAATCCAGACATGGTTGTTTTATTTTGATGGGTTTAAGTTTTTTTGATAAGCGGTGAAACTAAATACAAACACTCAACTCATACTTCTATATCAGATTTTATGGTTTTTATACCCATCAGCAAATGGTGGTGAAGTTTCTCAACAGCACCTTTTAATTTGGGGTACTGCGTTTGTTTCTGCTTTTATTGTTTATTTTGAAAGGATAATAAAGTGGAAACTATGGTCACAGGTGAGCGTATTCTTGTTTTTAAAAATGGACACCAGCACACTTCTCCATTCCTCTGGCATTTTCTCACTCTTCAGAAAATCTTTGTCAAAAACCTTCCCGTCATCTCTCCTAGATATTTTCATACCTGCACTGGTAAGTCGTCAGGTCCTACTGCCTTCCCCTTAAGCTGTTTCAAAGTGTTCCAAATTAATCCTGGAGTAATCTTTCCCGTTCCTGGTCCATAGTTTCTAAGACCTCTTCTCTTCCTTTCATACATTAGCTTCTCAGACCCTTTCCAAAAAATTAGAATATCATGGAAAAATTGTTTAACTTCCATAATTCCATTCAAAACGTTAATCTTTAACAGATGATAGATTCAGGGCCCACAATTTAAACGATTTCAAGTATTTATCTTTTTATTTTTACATAATTTGGGCTTCTAGCTCATGAAACCCAGAAAAACAGGATTTCAAAAAATTAGAATAACGTGAAGACATCAGCCCACACTACTCAGTTTATGCAGGAAAAAAAAGAAATTAGGATCACAACAAATCAGTCAAAATATGGTATTTTCAAAACGATATGTCAATCTTCAATACTTGGTTGGGAATCCCTTTGCCTTAATCACTGCCTCGATGCGACGTGGCATTGACTGGGAGTTATGGAAACCCAGATTTCCTTGATGTTTTCTGTCAGCTCTTCTTTGTTGTTGGGTCTGGTGCCCCTCATGTTCCTCTTGAGAATACCTCATAGACTCTCAATGGGGTTTAGGTCCGGCGAGTTGGCTGGCCAGTCAAGCACTGTGGCATGGACATCAAACCAGGTTTTGGTGTTTCTGGCGGCATGGGCAGGGGCCAGGTCCTGCTGGAAGATGAAATCTGCATCTCCATACAGATCCTCAGCAGAAGAAATTATGAAGTCCTCTAAAACATTCTGGTAGACTGTTGCGGTGACCTTGGATTTAAGAAAGCACAGTTTATCAACACCTGCACCCCAAATCATGACCGACTGGATATTTCACACTGGACCTCAAGCAGTATGGGTTCTGTTCCTCACCCTTCTTCCTCCAAACCCTTGGACCTTGATTTCTGAATGAAAGACAACTTTACTTTCATCGGAAAAGAGGACCGAGGAACCCGACAGTTGTAGTCCATCTCCCGGATGCGTGTGTATGTAGTGGTTTTTGAAGCTGTGACTCCCGCCTCATTCCACTCTTTCTGGATCTCTGCCAGATTCTGGAATCTTCTCTGTTTGATAATCTGCTGAAGCCCACAGTCATCTCTTTTGCTGGTGCATCTTCTCCTGCCACATTTTGCCCTTCAACTAGACTTTCCATTGATATGCTTGGACACAGCACTCTGTGAACAGCCAGCCTCTTAGCTATGAACTTTTGCAGCTTACCCATCCTATGAAGGGAATCAGTGATGGTCTTCTGGCCAGTCATGTCTGCAGTCTTCCACTTATTGAACTGAACTGAGACAATTGAACCAAACTCAAGCAATTTAATGACACCTGGGGAAACCTGTGCAGGAGCTTTGAGTTTAGTAGATGATTAGTGTGCGTCAGTCAGTTTAAAACTTTCATGCCCTGCAAAATTTGGGCTGATTTCTCCACCATATTCTAATTTTTTGAAATCTCATTTTTGTGGGTTTCATGAGCTGGAAGCCCAAATTATGTAAAAATAAGCAAATACTTGAAATCGTTAAAATTTTGGGCCCTGAATCTATCATCTATTAAAGATTAACTTTTTGAATTAAATTATGGAAGTTAAAACAACTTTCCCATGATATTCTAATTTTTTGGAAAGGGTCTGTACTCCTTCCATCTTTCCATCACGCTCTCCTCACTTGGTAGAACATCACCATTCCAGTCTTTAACAAGCCTAACCTGCTGCACATCCTTTCCAGCCTGATCCCTCTGTCAGTGCCAGACACAAGTCCATAATGATTCATCTGACTGGTAAAACTAAAAAGGAATATAAAAATACATAATTCCCAATGAATTTGGAGTGTTTTTGCTGCAAATGTAGATCTATATTAGAGGTTTCTTTTCACTGCATGTGTTCAATAACGGGAATCGTTGAAACATTAATTAAAATGCCTTAGAAAATTTACAGTTAATTGATTTCAAGAAAAAGTTGATGCAAAAACACAATTGGGGAAGATTTCAACAGCAGTGTTTTCAGCCTTCGTCAGTGAGTTCACCACCACCTGCTGTTCAATAGTTTATAAGTAATGAGAATACAATCTGAAAATGCCTGCAGAAGGTTTTATGAATGACAGAATAAAAAAGGACCTTTGGATTACCCAAAGTGGAGTTTAAGGTTGTACTTTATACACTTTCTTCAATGTTAACGTCCTAACGAATTGTTTTGATGATGGTAATTAAGTTAGACAAAGAAAATAAAGGATTTTTTTTATCTGAAACTTTATCAAACAGGAACTATTCAGTGCCAGTTTCCACCTCAACCTGTCTGAGCCCTGAATCACAACTGGATGGGATTTTATGAAGAACTGAAAGAACATCTTTTCAGAGTAGTGCCTGTATAATTTCACTCTGCTCCTGAAAGTCATTCTTGATTTAATTGATTGTCAGTGTTGCTAAATCTACGTAATCATTTATTTTAAGGAGAATTCAATTAACCCAACTAGACCTCTGAGTTAATGTAAGTTAACTGTTGCCATCAGTTTTGAAGCTGATCATTAGACCAGTATTCACAATGAAACACAAATATCTGATGTTCCCTCAGTAAGAAAAACAACCACATAAAACCAAAAGATGGTGCTACACTCACAAGTCCTTCGTGTTGTCAACATGGGCCTGGAGTTTTGCAAAGAAGCCGTCCACCTCCTCCTGCAATGCCACATTCAGGACAAAACAAAAGCAGTTGCTGTAGCAAGATTGAAGAGATAGTTTATGTAGCAGTGTCAAGGATTCTTACCTGATGTTGTTTATAGAAAAGTGGCAAAGAAAAGACAGCGATCACAACTGGAGAGAGGAAGATCGAGAAGAAGAGCAGGTATTGTGTGAACCAGAGTGCAAGTTGTTAAAACATTTTATCTGTTGGTGTAATCTGTTCCTTACAGATGATGATGAGAGTAAGGCCATTGCACAGGTCTCCCAGGTACGTCACGAGGTACATCAGAAACAGCAACTAGGACAGACAAAATACAGACTGGGTAAAAAAAACAAAGAAATCAACTGCAGGAAGTTAGTTGAAGGTTAAAAAGGAACAAGCAGAAGTCAAGATAATCATAAAGCGATGCTTAGTGTTGCTTAGAGCAAAGGCTGTCCAATCCTGGTCATCAAGGACCACTATCCTGCACGTTTTAGATGTTTCTTTGCTCCAGCACACCTGGTTGGAATCAATGTGTGATTAACAGGCTTCTACAGAACACAACGAGGTGATTCAACCATTGATCAGGTGCGTTTGAGCGGGAAAACGAGTAAAACATGCAGGATAGTGGCCCTTGAGGACCAGGACTGGACAACCCTGCTGAGCACAGCAGATTGAGTGTCACTGTGAAGACATTCCAGCTCCCAGATATCGGACACCTCTGTCTCAGACTGAAAAAAAAGACTCTTGCCTATGGTTCAGGTTTCTGCACATACTGACCAGGTCAGAGTTCAAACTAGGAGGACTGGGAGGACTGACAGCTCACACTGATTTACATTTACTATATCTGTGTCTGCTGCTAATACCTCAAATACTTCTGTTATATTAACATTTAAATGAGGATGATATAAAATATAAATACACAAAACAATTATGGTAGTGGGCGATCATGTAACTGTGTGTTTGTATTCATGTACATCCAACCATCCATCATTTTTATCTGCTTCTTCCCTTTTTGGGGTCACGGGGGTCACTTGTGCTCATATCCAGCAGTCACTATGTGAAAGGCGGGGGACACCCTGCACAGGTCTCCTGTCCATCACAGGGACACAGAGACAAACAACCATTCACTCTCTCACTCACACCTAGGGACAATTTAGAGTTATCAATCAGCCTAACATGCATGTTTTTGGTCTGTGGGAGGAAACGAGTACCTGGAGGAAACCCACGCATGCACGGAGAGAACATGCAAACTCCACCCCGAGACGTCCATGGCTGGGATTTGATCCAGCAACCTTCTCGCTGAGAGGTGGCGGCTCTACCAACAGCACCCTTGTGCTCGTCTGTTAGCAAAATATCTCACAAACCAGTGAATAGGTTTTGATAAAGCTCTGAGAAAGGAACTCTTTCATGTTCACCTACAACTGATTAACTGCTGAAGTCAACTTAATTCAAAATGGTCGCCACATCTAATAAACAAAAATTGGTCCTTCAAAAAAAAAAGCATTCAAGAAATGCTAGTTTCAAGAGCTGATGTTTAGCTGTAGCATTTACTAACAGAAAGGCAGGAAATGCACTACATGCTACAATAAATCACATACGATTTAGTACAAATATAGAAACTAAAGGAAAAATGTGATGTCTGTGGCATTTAACAGCTGTAACCTTTGTAAAAAAAAACAAAACAAACAAAAAAAAACAACAGCTGAGGACTGAGGAATCAGAACAGTTGAACTGGCATTAAACAACTAAAGTGTGAATGAAAACAGATTTAAGTGATAAGTTATAAAATTAGACGACTAGAACAACTATTCAGGTGATTGGAAGTTTCAGTCAGTAGAGAAAAATACGAGACTGGTAATAATGCTGCGTTGTACTTCACACCGCTCTGTTAAGGGTTTATGGAAAAATGCAACAAAGCATCAGCCAATCAAACTGTTAGGATGCCACCAGTTTGTAAGAATTACCTTTATCATTAATAGATTACCACATACGGCATATTATACGGCTGTTGACAAACTATTATAATCTATAGCAATGGTCTAGACAAGCAAAAACCTTGTTTAAACTTTGACCTTGATTTGTGTCCTTTACCTTGGAACTGAGGTGATGAAAAGTGTAAGCAAAACTACATCTAGTGGTTATGCATGTGTATGAATTTTTATTAAATTACAAACCGGATTCCAAAAAAGTTGGGACACTAAACAAATTGTGAATAAAAACTGAATGCAATGATGTGGAGATGGCAAATGTCAATATTTTATTCGTAATATAACATAGATGACAGATCAAAAGTTTAATCTGAGTAAATGTAACATTTTAAAGGAAAAATATGTTGATTCAAAATTTCACAGTGTCAACAAATCCCCAAAAAGTTGGGGCAAGTAGCAATAAGTGGCTGGAAAAAGGAAATTGAGCATATAACGAACAGCTGGAAGACCAGTTAACACTAATTAGGTCAATTGACAACATGATTGGGTATAAAAAGAGCTTCTCAGAGTGTCAGTGTCTCTCAGAAGCCAAGATGATAAGAGGATCACCAATTCCACCATTGTTGCACAGAAAGATAGTGCAGCAATACCAGAATGGTGTTACCCAGTGTAAAATAGCAAAGACTTTTAAGTTATCATCATCAACCGTGCATAACATCATCAAAAGATTCAGAGAATCTGGAACAATCACTGTGCGTAAGGGTCAAGGCCGTAAAACTCTACTGGATGCTCGTGATCTCCGGGCCCTTAAACATCACTGCACCTCAAACAGGAATGCCACTGTCAAGGAAATAACAGAATGGGCTCAGGAATACTTCCAGAAAGCATTGTCAGTGAACACAATCCACCGTGCCATCTGCCGTTGCCAGATGAAACTCTACAGTGCAAAGAGGAAGCCATTTCTAAGCAAGCTCCACAAGCTCAGACATTTGCACTGGGCCAGGGGTCATTTAAAATGGAGTGTGGCAAAATGGAAGACTGTTCTGAGGTCAGATGAGTCACGATTTGAAGTTCTTTATGGAACACTGGGATGCCATGTCATCCGGACCAGAGAGGACAAGGATAGCCCAAGTTGTTATCAACGCTCCGTTCAAAAGCCTGCATCACTGATGGTATGGGGTTGCATGAGCGCTTGTGGCAGGGGCAGCTTGCATGTCTGGAAAGGCACCATTAATGCAGAGAACTATGTTCAGGTTCTAGAACAACATGCGCCCATCTAGACGTCATCTCTTTCAGGGAAGACCCTGCATTTTTCAACACGATAATGCCAGACCACATTCTGCAGCAATCACAACATCATGGCTACGTAGGAGAAGGATCCGGGTACTGAAATGGCCAGCCTGCAGTCCAGATCTTTCACCTATAGAGAACATTTGGCGCATCATAAAGAGGAAGGTGCGACAAAGAAGGCCCAAGACGATTGAACAGTTAGAGGCCTGTATTAGACATGAATGGGAGGGCATTCCTATTTCTAAACTTGAGAAACTGGTCTCCTATGTCCCCAGACATCTGTTGAGTGTTGTAAGAAGAAGGGGGGATGCCACACAGTGGTAAAAATGGACTTGTCCCAACTTTTTGGGGATTTGTTGACGCCATGAAATTTGGAAACAACAGATTCTTCCCTTAAAATGATTCATTCTCTCAGTTTAAACTTTTGATCTGTGATTTGTGTTCTATTCTGAATAAAATATTAGATGTTGGCACCTCCACATCATTGCATTCAGTTTTTATTCACAATTTGTTTAGTGTCCCAACTTTTATGGAATCCGGTTTGTATTTTGAGTAGATCAGAAGTTATGGTTGAGAGAAAAGAAAGTTTACAGATGGGCAGACAGAGACTATTCTATAATACTATATGTCTGCATTTCAACAGGAGTATAAAATTACAACACTAACAGATTTATTCAGGATTGATACAAACATAATGTTTTGTCATTTGTAGTATAAAGTGGCATAAAAAGAAGATGAATGAACAAGACAGATATGAAGAGCAAAGTCACATTTTAATACCCTAAAGAGAATTTAGGTTTATTGTAATTTATAAAGGCCAGATCCTTTTCTAAATAATCAGTAAATGTATATGAACTGACAGCTGCTGTCTTTTAAGAAAATTTCACACTTGAAAAAAGCTGGCATATGAAAACTCCAGGGGGCTGAAAGGGTAGACTGAGGAACATTACAGATGATGGGAGAAAAATTAAGAGGAAGCAGAGACAAACATGTTCATAGTTTATCTGCTTCAGTGTCTCTTTCCTGCGGGGTCCCGCAAGGCTCGATTCTTGGACCCCTTCTGTTTTCATTGTATCTGCTCCCCTATCCTGAGGAAACATAGTCTTCATTTCATTGCTATGCTGATGATTGTGAGATGCATCTGCCCTTAAATCCAAATAGTTCATGCACAGTTCACCCTCTGTTAAAATGTCTAGACGTTAAGTCATGGATGGCTTCAAAGTTTTTACGTTTCAACGATCAGAAAACTGAAGTCATTGTGTTTAGCCCTAGCTCTACCACTGTCTCTGTTCCTGTTAACTTTGACTCTCTTCAGCCATATCTTAAGCGCTCTGTTACAAATCTCGGGATGGTTTTAGACTCAGAGCTCAAGTTTAAAAACAACAGACAAACTCTGTTCTACAAAAAAAAGCTTCTTCCAATTAAGACAGATAGCTAAGCTTAAGTCTGTGTTGACCAGATCTGACCTTGAAAAATATAGTCCATGCATTTGTTACAACTTGACAGACTACTGTAACACACTTTATATTGGGGTCAGTCAGGTGTCCCTTTCATGTCTCCAGTTCATCCAGAATGCTGCAGCTTGGCTGTTAACTGGAACTCATGGGTTCCTCACAGTTCCAGGAACTCATCTTAAGTGCAGAGGTGACAGGGCCTTCTCTGTAGCAGGACCAAGACTCTGGAACGAGTTACCTCTGCTTGTCAGACAGGCCCCCACCCTCTCGGTTTTCAAGTCCCGTTTAAAAACTCACTACTATTCAGTAGCATTCAACACCAGAGGATCTGTGTTTTGAACCTGTACGCTCCACACTGGTTTGTCGTCATTGTCTGTATCGTTTTTATGTCTATATTTCTGATTTACTTCATTTTGTATTTTGCTTTGTGTGTTACCTGTTGTTCTGTTTGTACAGCACTTTGGTTGGCCTTGTCGCTGTTTTAAGTGCTCTATAAATAAAATGGTATGGTATGGTATGAACATATTTCACCAGTTTTGTTCTCTCTTCACTGGCTCCTTGTACATGTCAGAATTGGTTTTAAAATTCTCCGGTTGACCTTTGAGTGCATAAATGGCCTTGCACCCTCATACCTCTCTGACCTACTTCAACCATTTGTTCCTTCTTGGGAACTGAGATCATCTGACCAGCTGTTTTTGGTTGTACCAAAAACTATGTTGAAGCTCAGAGGAGATCGGGCTTTTTCAGTCATTGACCCTAAACTCTGGAACAATCTGCCCTTCAACATTAGACAGGCCACTTCACTCCCTGCTTTTGAATCTCCCCTAAAAACTCACGTGTTTTCACTGACATTTAACATAGTATGATTTGATTTACTATTTGATTGTTTCTCATTGTTTTTGTGTTTTATGTTTTTAGTTTTGATGCTTTTAATTACATCTTGTTATTATTTTTTTCTTTAATTACTGACTTGATCTTATTAAGCACTTTCGTAACAGCTGCCGTTTTAAATGTGCTTTATAAAAATTTTTGACTTGACTTTATGATATAATATCACAAACACAACAGGTCAAGTAGGACATCTTACCTTAAGAGATTCAAAAAGGTTTCCTACAAAAATGAGTCTCTTCAGAGATTCAGCAGCAGACAGAGTCAGGACGATGGCTTTCTGCATGAACAGGTCTGCCTGCTCTCCACTGAAGCTGACGTCCCGCCCCAAGTATGACCTGATGGAAGACGAAGCACCATCAGTATCAGACCAGAATAAAAAATAAAAAAAACATGTTTGTGTAGAAACGTACCTCTGCAGGCTCATTGACTTATTTAAAGAAAAAGGGAACGTCGAAGCCTCCAACGCACTGGCAATGTTCTAAAAATGTATTTTCTGACATCTAAAGTACATTTCTGAAGCAATAAACCTTTAGATTCAGTTGGTTCATGAGGTGTGAATTAAAAGAAACCAGCACTTTATTCTAAATGCAGTGTCTTGGCTTAATGATGTGCTTTCAACTTTTTCATAGCCTCCCTTAATGACTATTTAAATGTAGATTTTTCTATGCTTATTATTTTTACAAATATATTTTAAAGCATTTTTCTTTATTAGTAATCAAATGCCTAACACTCATGTAAGCTACAGTTAGCTTACCTCGGACGTGAGCAGTTTGTCTGTTTTAGGCTTGAAAAGTTTAAAACTTCTATTACAGTTTAAATATTTTGCTAATTAGTAGCAGTCAAAATCTTCAACTTCTTAATGTTTTGTTAGGTTTTAAAGAAACAGGTCTCACAAACGAGTGAGCCAACTACAGGGACTGAAGACTCGCATCCAATCTGGAGAAACCAGAGTTTACGAGAGGTTTCCTTTAAGACCACAAATTACAGAGCAGGCTGTGAGCAAAATATTAGCTTTTTAAAATTTTAAATAAAGACTGGTGAGGAGATTGTTGACAAACCTTTAGCCACACTGGGGCGGTTGTGGCTGAGTGGTTAGAGCGGTCGTCCTCCAATGCAAGAGTTGGGGGTTCGAATCCACCAGCAGTCACATGCCAAAGTGTCCATGGGCAAGACAATGAACCCCTCATAGCCTCTGATGTGTGTCCCATTGGTGTATGAATGTGATAAAGCTCTGATTAGTCTCTTTAGAATGATTTGTTCAATTAGCTTTGTAGAGATCTAGTAGAGTGCTGTATGAATGGGTAAATGAGGACACAGATTGTAGTGTAAAGCACTTTGAGTATCTCAGTAAGACAGAAAGGCGCTATATAAGTACAGACCATTTACTTTTGTCAAAATGACCTTTTCACTAAACAAGCAACAAACAATGTCCCCCGTCACTGAAGAATTTGAATAATAAATGTTTTTAGTTTTCGAGATGAGAGTTTTTCTAGACTGGATTTGAACTGTGAAAGCAAGTAAACCTGAATGTTTTTGGTGCAACATATTCAAATGAAGTAGGAGTTATGTTGTGTACAATATCAGGAAGTTTTTTATTTTCCTTGTGGAGGCGACGCAGAGTGACGAATTCTGGCAAGTGGAGGGAGCAATTTTATTCTCCACCAGGCACAATGGTGGAGCCAGGGGGTGGCCAATGGTGGCCTTGGCCACTATAGATTCATCTTCAGCCACCCCAATCATTTGGAACTATAATTTAAAGAAATATAAAAAACTAGAAAGCATAGTTTCCTCAAATGACAAAAAGTGGTCGGTTTACATACACGAACCATAATGGTGGTGGCCATCTTGGATTTCAACGTGGCAACTAAATTTTCAAAAGGAACATTTCTTAAGCCTAGATGTAGCTACACACTAAAAAGGAAGTTTGCAACTACCTTACTTTTCAAGTTATCCAGCTCACAAAGTTTACATATAAATGGTGGTGGCCATCTTGAATTTTGATGTGGCAACCCAATTTTTGAAAGGAACCTTTCTTACACCAAGATGTAGCCACAAACCAAAAAGAAAGTCGGTATCTCACTTATTTTTCAAGTTATGCTCACAATATTCACAGATGGAGGATATTTCCAATTCCTCATTTTTGCTCCATGGACAATAAACTGCAGGAAAAAGCCAAAGGAAACATACATTTAAGTTCAATCTGAACACACTCAGAGGCATCCTAACTTTTTTTACAGACAGGAAACTGGGCTGAACCAGTCAGCTAAAGCACCTATAAGCTTTCTTGCTGGGATCATTTGCATAGTAAAGCTGAGACATTACTGTGCAACAAACAGGTTTTCCATTTTAAAGCTTATAAAAGCCATCCTGCTGCTGTTTTCTGGAAACTACCATTCATCTGAAATGTCTTCTAATTTCTGTTGCTAAACTTTAAAGAAGTGCAAAGTTTATACATTTTTGTCTTTGTCATGGCCACATTTTTCATCTGCTCAGCAAAGTGCACTAAGCTGCTCCTTCCTGCTGCAGTTTTACCTCTTGTTTGATAAATAGACTGTACTTTTATAGCACCTTTCTATCTAATCAAGATACTCAAAATGTTTTACAACACAATCTGTGTCCTCATTTACCTCCACACACTCATACAGCACTCTACTACATCTCTGCAAAGCTAATTTGTAGAGACTAATCATTGCTTTAGATCACATTCATACACCGATGGGACACACATCGGTGGCAATGAGGGGTTCGGTGTCTTGCACATGGACACTGATGGAATCGAACCCCCAACTCTCCCATTGGAGGACGACTGCTCTAACCAGTCAGCTACAGCCGCCCCAAAAGTTGGTGAAGTAGCAGAAAAAGAACAACAAACAGAGAAGCTGCTAAAACATATTAAACATTAAATAAATACACAAATTACCATTATTAGCTGTGATGGCAGTAAAAAGAATAATGGTAATAAAAGAACTGAATAGTGCAAGTATATTTAACAAAAGACGGGTGACATTATCAGTGTCTGTAGTTTGTACTGCTACAGTATCTTCCTTTATTGTTAAATTAGAGTCTGAACTAACAGTCCCTTGAAACTATTCAGTATCCTGCTGAATCTGGAACAAAGGCTTTGATGCCTTTTCCAACATGGAAGGAGTGAGATCAGACCATAGGCAGGGTGGTGGGGGTTCTTTAAAATATTGTTAGACCTGCAAACACAGCATTGGTAAAAAAAATCTACAGCAGTGAGCACCAAATATTAACAGTCCTGCTTAACTGGTGTTTCTCCAGAGTTTTGCAATTGCAAAACCAGGAGGTGAGGCTGTACGTTAGCACAAACTCCACTCCACAGATCCTCTGTAAATAGTGACAAGACGGGGTGCAGGTAGACCTGCCTTTTTCAGGTGCCAGAGGGAGTGAAACCAGTGGTGGCCTTTTTAATAATAGCTGTGGTGTTGACAACAAAGATCAGATGGACCCCAAGGAATCTGATGTGGATGACACTTCCTAACACAGCCAGAGGTAAATGATGCTGATTAATAACCCTCCTAAAGTCAACCACCATCTCCCTTGGGAAGGGAAAGCAAGTCAAGATTGTCATCATTGTACAGGTCCTTCTCAAAAAATTAGCATATTGTGATAAAGGTCATTATTTTCCATAATGTAATGATAAAAATGAAACTTTCATATATTTCAGATTCATTGCACACCAACTGAAATATTTCAGGTCTTTAATTGTTTTAATACTGATGATTATGGCATACAGCTCATGAAAACCCAAAATGCCTGTCCCAAAAAATTAGCATATTTCATCCCACCAATGAAAGACAAGTGTTTTTAATACAAAAAACGCCAACCTTCAAATAATCATGTTCAGTTATGCACTCAATACTTGGTCGGGAATCCTTTTGCATGAATGACTGCTTCAATGCGGCGTGGCATGGAGGCAATCAGCCTGTGGCACTGCTGAGGTGTTATGGAGGCCCAGGATGCTTCGATAGCGGCCTTAAGCTCATCCAGAGTGTTGGGTCTTGCGTCTCTCAACTTTCTCTTCACAATATCCCACAGGTTCTCTATGGGGTTCAGGTCAGGAGAGTTGGCAGACCAATTGAGCACAGTAATACCATGGTCAGTAAACCATTTACCAGTGGTTTTGGCACTGTGAGCAGGTGCCAGGTCGTGCTGAAAAATGAAATCTTCATCTCCATAAAGATTTTCAGCAGATGGAAGCATGAAGTGCTCCAAAATCTCCTGATAGCTAGCTGCATTGACCCTGCGCTTGATAAAACACAGTGGACCAACACCAGCAGCTGACATGGCACCCCAGACCATCACTGACTGTGAGTGCTTCACACTGGACTTCTGGCATTTTGGCATTTCCTTCTCCCCAGTCTTCCTCCAGACTCTGGCACCTTGATTTCTGAATGACATGCAAAATTTGCTTTCATCCGAAAAAAGTACTTTGGACCACTGAGCAACAGTCCAGTGCTGCTTCTCTGTAGCCCAGGTCAGGCGCTTCTGCCGCTGTTTCTGGTTCAAAAGTGGCTTGATCTGGGGAATGCAGCACCTGTAGCCCATTTCCTGCACACGCCTGTGTACGGTGGCTCTGGATGTTTCTACTCCAGACTCAGTCCACTGCTTCCGCTGGTCCCCCAAGGTCTGGAATCGGCCCTTCTCCACAATCCTCCTCAGGGTGCGGTCACCTCTTCTCGCTGTGCAGCGTTTTCTGCCACACTTTTCCCTTCCCACAGACTTCCCACTGAGGTGCCTTGATACAGCACTCTGGGAACAGCCTATTGGTTCAGCAATTTCTTTCTGTGTCTTGCCCTCTTGCTTGAGTGTGTCAATGATGGCCTTCTGGACAGCAGTCAGGTCGGCAGTCTTACCCATGATTGCGGTTTTGAGTAATGAACAAGGCTGGGAGTTTTGAAAAGTCTCAGGAATCTTTTGCAGGTGTTTAGAGTTACGTCGTTGATTCAGATGGTTAGGTTAATAGCTTGTTTAGAGAACCTTTTCATGATATACTAATTTTTTGGGACAGGCATTTTGGGTTTTCATGAGCTGTATGCCATAATCATCAGTATTAAAACAATTAAAGACCTGAAATATTTCAGTAGGTGTGCAATGAATCTTAAATATAGGAAAGTTTCATTTTTATCATTACATTATGGAAAATAATGACCTTTATCACAATATGCTAATTTTTTGAGAAGGACCTGTATGTTCCCATACAATGGCAAAATTGGTTATCTGCATTTAACCCATTACAGCTGGGATATACCCAGGTTGGAGCAGTGGGCAGCTATGTAAGAGACCAGGGAGCAAATGGGGATTAGGTGTCTTGCTCAGAGACACCACGGCATGTGGGAATGGCTGGGAATTGAACCATGACTTTCTGGTCCCAGGTCGGCTGCCCTGCCTCTACCCCATCTCAGCCCCCCAGATATTGGTGGTAAGGCTATAAGGCTATGCCAACTAATTCAAATTATCATTAGGAAGCCTCCAAAATATGACCCCCCCCCACCCCCCCCACTGTGTTCAATCATAGCTCAAGTTCATTACAGAAAAACTGACCAGAAAGAAGTATAAATAAATAAACAAAAGAATGAATGCCTGGTTTCCTTATTATCCGACTGTATGGTTGTTTTATTATGTGCACAGCACTTTGGTCCTGTGGGTGTTTAAAGTTCTCTATAAATAACACTGGTATGGTATTAAAATAAAAGTGTCATACTTGAAGGGATGCTCTCCGTCCCCCCAGCCGAGGATGTAGAGGAAGTAGTAATAGATGCGCACTGAGATGGTGAAGCACATGAAGGCCAGGGAGACTGTGGAGACGACGGTAATAATGCTGAGCTGGAACAGGGACAGTAAACCCACCACTAACCCAGTGAGCACCATGCCGGTTCGCTCCATGTCCTTCCAGTAGATCAGGTCTATCGCTGAAAGAAAAGTAGGTGGAGGGAAATTTAAAATATATAATAAAATTAACAGAAGTGTAGCTGTCATTTGACCATAAGTTTTGAGTAGAATGATAAGAATGTACAATTTTATAGGTACTTTGAAACAGTTTGGGGTGGAAGTTGTTTTCATTGTGTAGGTTCCTTGGAAATGTTTCAAACCAAATACAAAAGTTAAAGATTGTGAGTCTCTGCACACCCTACAGTAACAAACGACTGCAGTAATGTCACATTAACTCCTCAGCCCATCACTAAAGAGCTGTTTGTGAAGGAAGAGTGATGTAAACATTCACCATTTCTGACAATGGGATACGATGAGGAAGAAAGTCCAGAGACATGAAACAAAAAGGGGGTACTTTCCATCGTCAAACAAGAGCGATCACACTGCAGCTACAACATGTCAGGCTCAAGCCTCGACTAAATATAGCCCTCAGATCAGAGAGAAGCGAGTAAGTTGAGCAGAATTTAAACAGCCCATCACAGCACCTGCTGTCAGATGTCAGACTGTCATTTCTCCTCTTTGTCACTCAGCAACAGCTGCCGTGGAGACGGCAGCATTCTCAGAGGCCTGTTTTACAATGATGAACAGCTTTATTATTTAACCACAGCTTTCTGTTTATTGGTCGGTCTATGTTCCTACCCTCACCTGTGGTCACAAACCTTTGGTAGTGACCAAAAGACTGAGATACAAGTAGTTGAAATGAGTTTTCTCCACCGAGTACCTGAAATCTCCCTTAGGGACTGAGTGAGAAGTTTAGTTATCTGGGACAGACTTTGAGTAAAGCTGCTGCACATCCACATCGAGTGCAGCCACTTGAGGTGGAACTGGTATCTGGTAAGGATGCCCCCTGGATGCCTCCCTAGGGATGTTTTCTAGACATGTTAAACTGAGGGGGAGACCCCAGGGAAGACCAAGGACATGCTGGAGAGACCGTCTCTTGCCTGACCTGGGGAATGCCTTGGAGTTCTCCCAGAAGTGGCTGTGGAAAGAGATGACTGCACCTCCCTGATCAAGCTGCTGTCCCCTGAATCAAGCTTAAGATAATGGTTGGATGGATGGAAGTCAGACAGATTAGGTCTAAACATTCAAAGTAATGTTGTTGTGTTATGTAATCCCAGAGTGTGCTATATGACACAGATGCAGCTCTTTGTGCTTTTCTTTCAGTAAAACATTGAGATTTAGCTCTACACAGAACCACAGACAGCAGCTCAGGTTTTTATAAGCATCCCTGTACCCGATTACTACCCTCAGAGACCCTGAATACACCTTTCCATACACACTTTCTGCAACACATGGACACAGGTGACAAATTTAACTTAATAATGGAGGACAAGATGGTGGCGGTGATGTGGTCTAGCATAGGCTCCCACCAGTGCTGCCTGAAAACTGCCTTACATGAAGATATTCTCGCTACCTTTGTATTGGATGCTCCAGTATTCGACATTGTTGTTTGATTGACTTGGCAAAGCTGTAGAATGGCGACAAAATTGAAGAAATACAAGTATACGAGTTCCGTGGCCACAGGGCCCGACACCGCCTCGGGCCACGATACTTCTAAAGCCAGGGACTCAGCTCTGCCCCCTCCAGATCCCAGAAAGACGGGCATATCAGCCCTGAATTCGAACATTCTGGCTTCAATAAAGCAGAAATTTCAGCAGTGATTAAATCTGAAATTAAAGCTGCCCTCGCAAAGACTCTCGCCTTTATTAAGGGTGAGGTTCAAGCAGTGAGAGTGGAGGCGGCTAACAGCATCACGGCATTCAGAGCAGAAATTGACCAGGCGAGACTTAGTGTTAAAGATGTTGAAGATGGACTGTCCACCTGATTGGATGAAGTTGCGACTCTGCGCAGTACCATGACAGATCTGAAGGACGAGATAAATGGGCTGAAAAAGAAATGAGGATGTGGAGGGCATATGAGAAGGTGCAATGTGAGGATCCTTGGAGTCCCGGAGACACTGATATCAAGCTCCACCACAGCAGTTGCCAATATGCACCCTGAGGTGCTGCAGCTGGACAAGACGCTGCTGATCGCCCACTCGCACCGGACGCCGGGCGGGAAGAAGTCAGGTAATAAGCTGAGAGTTATTGTAGCTAAATTGCACTACAACCAAGACTGCGCGGAAATATTACAGCATGTGTGCAGTCGCAGCCCGCTTTGCTTCAACGAATCCCTCATCATCATCATCACAGCAGACTATGCAGCAGGAGTGGCCAAGGCTCACACGGCCTTCACAGAGGTGAAGAGGCTTCTTTGTGGCTGGCGAGACGTTCGCTATGGGCTACTTTTTCCTGCGCGGCTTCGAATCATTCACGGTGGTGTGGAGAAGGAGTTTGTGGACCCAGATAAATCCATGGTGTATATGTCACAAAGAATATCATCTCAGTAACCTGTGGCGAGGACGGGAAAAAACGGTAGGGCTAGTTAGATTGGCCTACATCAATTGCTTATTTGTCCCACTTCATATTTTGTTATATTTTTGAATGTCATGCCTTGTTCCAGGGGGGGGGCAATTTTTTTCAGGTTTATGTTTGACCAAATATTTGGCTGTTTGGACCTTTGATGGGGGACATGGGCACCGGCGATCCCTGTGACCCAAAATGGAAGAAGCAGGTAAAAGATAATGGATGGATGGACCTTTGATGAGGCTATGGCTTCCATTTTATTTATATTGAAAGGTGACTGTATGGGTATCAGCACTCTGGATTGAGATATTCACTGTGTTACTTGCCATTTATTTTTTTCTCCATATGTGGGCAGGCAGGAGCCCAGGCAATTAGAGCTGTGTTCCTCAACACAAGCACATATATGTGTGGATTTTTCGTTGAGAGTTCTTGTTCTCTCCATGTTCATGTAGGAGAGAGGGGTGGGTTCATTACTTGATCAGTTTGTCTGGGAGATTTTTTTCGGTCATGTATTGGCTTGTGATAATTTGCATGTAAATAAAATATTATTGTTCAATTATGACTAATTTTAAGGATGATGGTCACTTTAATGGCTGTCCAGTTAACTGTGTAAGCTGGAATGTAAAATCCCTTAATGGACCAGTGAAATTTGGAAAATTATGTCAAAACTGAAACATCTTAACACTGATATTGCGTTTTTTTACAAGAGACCCATGTGTGTGATGCAGACAGTGTAAGTTTTGGTTAAAAATGGTCCGGTCAGGTGTTTGAATCTAATTTTCAATCCAAGTCAAGAGGGGGCAGCCATCATGTTTGGCAAGCAGGTACAATTTACAGCCTCGAGTATACATACTGACACTGCTGGGCGGTATGTTATAGTGGTAGGGAAGGTATACACACTCCCAGTGATTTCAGTATATGCACCAAACTGGGATGACGTCACATTTTTTAAGAATCAGAACCAGAATAAGCTTTATCATCATTGTACCGGGATACAGTGAAATTATGTTAATAACCTCTTTTCAAACAGACCGAATATATCAACATACAACCACCGTCCTCTCCCCCACCAACTCGGCTGAGGCAGCCATGGCTTTGATGTTTTGAACCACTTTAGCCATGGCTGCCTCAGACGAGTCGGCGGGGGAGAGGGCAGACTCCAGAAACCATCTTATCACCATCAAATAGGTTGGTGCACTATGCGAGTGTGCTACTTATAAGACTGAGTTTGTTGTGGCTCCTCGGACTGATGAAGTCTTTTGGATGAAAGACGAAACGTTTCAACCAAAAAAAAAAAAACGTTCATAGGACCTGATTTAACTTTGTTGTATTTTTTACCTGGATTATTGAGCATGAACTTTGATGTTCCCACAATGTGTTGCGCTCCATGTGTTAGAGACTATGCTAAGGCACTAACACATCAAATTTGAGCTCAAAATCTGTAAAAATGGCTGGGTCATAGGTGGTTTTCTTTTTCCTATGGTCAGTTGGCTGTGGTGGCCATCTTGAAGTGAGTTGATTCTAAAAGGTAATCAGTTGTAGAGGTCCATCCAGTGATTACTTTCTGAGAGCTTCATTAAAAATAAATTCAGTGGTGCATAAGATATTTTGCCAACAGACAGAGTTGATCCCAATTGTTAATGGCAAAGTTTTAAACACATTTCCTGTGCAATCGGTTGGTGTTCAAAATGTATGTTAGGGATTAGTCTCAGCTACTACCTCACCAAGGTTTAGGTAATTATCTGTAAACCTGAGCCATTTTAGTGTTTGCTAAGGTTGCTGTGTTATGGCAGCCATATTACATTTACGGTGGTTGACTTCAAAAATGTATCTCGTTGTTGACTACTTCCTGAAAGATTAATTCAAATCCATCCACACACTCAGATAAAAGCATTGTGCTGCCTTTGCGTTTAGGTAAAATTAATGATGATGTGGCTTGTTTGACCTCACTCGACCTTACAGCTCATTAGCATGAACAAAATGTCACAGAAATGACTCTGCACACACCATCTGTTCAGCTCAAAGTGGGAATTTTAAAACATGGAAGAAGCCAGCTGGACTGCTACACCCCATAACAGCAGCACTGTTTGAACTCATTTAAATGGCAGATCATAATTTGAAGCCGCCGCTTCAAAAATTTTAATACAAATACAGATTCTACCCACTTGTTGGAGCAGCCATGAGTTTAAAGTCCAACAGCGCTGCAGCTGCCGTCTTCATAGGCTCGGTTTGTGAGCTGATCAGTGAGGCCCGTCCTCTTACAAAAGGACTTCCCCATGTCAAAGTGACAACACTGAAGATTGCGCCACAAACAATGAAAAATGGTTTTGATCTATCCACATTTAAATCTGTTGCTTTCTGTTACCTTTTCTCCTGCTTAGTTTGATCTTCGATCAAACAAATCTTTCAAAGGGGGTTCGTTGTCACTTCAGCTCAAAAATGAAAACACCCACTCTAGAACTGAACAAATGCAGTTTGACTCAAACAGGCCTCACCTTTACTGGTCATTTTGGTTGCTGTTCTTGTATCCCTGCACCCTCTGGCCCTCTCTGCCTCCCAGCCGGACTCCCCTCACCACTTTGAGCTGTTTTTGGATCAGCAGGCTGAAGCCCCAACAGCCCAAAATAATCGTGTCCACAGCACCTCCCACCGCTCCTTAAGACTACCAGGGTTTCACACTCAAAGGGACAATCATATATAAGACATTGTTTATAAACACAATATTTTGTTGGTTTTAGTAAAATTCCACAATTTTATTTAAAGGATTTTTGGTAATATTTTATTGTCTCTGACACCTAAAAAAATGAGCTGATGTTTTTGTTGTAAAATACTGGTTTCAAAAAAATAGCTAAAGTTTTTAATTTTTTTTAATTTATCAGTACTTTCCATCCATCCATCCATCCATCCATCCATCCATCCATCCATATTTTCGATTCACGGGGGTCACTGGTGCCCATATCCAGCAATCTATGCGAGAGGCGGGGGACAACCTGGACAGGTCCAAGTCCATCACAGGGACACAGAGACAAAGAACCATTCACTCTCTCACTCACACTTAGGGACAATTTAGAGTTACCAATCAGCCTAACATGCATGTTTTTGGTCTGTGAGAGGAAACTGGAGTACCTGGAGAAAACCCAAGCATGCACAGAGAGAACATGCAAACTCCACCCAGAAAGACCCCTGGCCGGGATTCGATCCAGCAGCCAGCAACAGCTCTACCAACCACCTATGCCTGAAAATAGTCCATGCTTCTAATTTTTTTATACCATATTCTATATTTACACACCCCTCCCATACACATACACACACACATATGGCGGCAGCCATCTTGGATTTTGACGTGGCAACCCAATTTTTGACCGTGACCTTTCTTACACCAAGATGCAGCACACACCAAGAAGGAAGTTGGCACCTCACTTAGTTTTAAAGTTATCCAGCTCACAAGACAGACAGAGGGTGATGGAGATGTGAAAGGTCACGGATGTTTTTCACTTATTAATGACAAATGTATATGAACCATGCGTGGTGTTAGAGCTGTCTTGGCTGAACAGAGTGGAGCTACAGAAGCATGGAGCCTTTCACCTGATAAAGTCAAGGCCCTAAGCTGGAAAGCAGAGTTGTCTGACCTCGCTTCTGTCTGAGAACCATATTTATAAAAAGACACTTCTTTATGCGCTCTTTAAGCAGACTTGGAGACGAAGCGACATTCTTGATGCTTGTTTTTTTAAATGCTGCTCCATCTTGCAAGATTAAATCCTGTGTTAAGAAAATATCTTCTTCTTCCTGTGTGGCTTATTTATTTAATGAGCTATGATGGGCTAATTAAATTATCCAACAGTTTTGGTCCTTCGAGCCGGATCATTTCCAATTCCGTTCTTAGCACTGTAATCGGGGACAATAAAACATGAATCTCTTCTGAATACTTTAAATGTGACACTTTGAACCGTCATCAGTCTGACCTTACAGTCACTGACAGCACCCCCACTTCCACTAAAATGAGTCAAAGCTCCCTTCTGACTGCAGCAATTGTCCACTTGAAGTGTTATCAGGCTGGAAGACAGAATCTTATCTTGTTGGCTTCCTTAGTCTGTTTTCTTTTAACTCCAGTTCCCACAAACCTGCACCATAAGACATTTTGCAGTGAATGTTATTATCTACAGCACATGTAAAAAACAATTCCAGAGAGTCAGCTGAAGCCAGGAATGTCTCCACCTCAGTTTGCCAACTGTTCCCGAAGCCCCAGGAGAAAGTTACAAAGCAGAAACAAAGAACAGCCCGACCTTTTGTTTCTGCCCCTGAAGGCAGATGCTAAAAGTGAAATCTGATATATTTTTTTTAATTAAAGTATTGATTTGTGAGCTGAGTGGAGGAATCTCTGTGAGCAGCAGAGCAAAGACGGACCAACATGTTTAGGAAGAGGAACTAAAGTCACAAAAACGAACATAAAGAGAGCTGGGTGGTGAAATGTTGTACCTGCTGTGTGGGCATAAACCCTCTGGTCCTCTGTTAGGTTGCGTGTTGAAAACCAGTGATCGCTGACCAGCTGTTCCTGAGAATTAGGGCCAACGACGGCCGGCGACAAGCTCACTTGATCTGTGGGTCGCACAGATGTGAGCAGAGAAACTGAAAATGTTTCCATGGTGACAGGAGACTCAGGCTCTGGGGTCGGAGAGGCTGGGAATAAATAAATAAAAAAAGAGCTGACCTTAATATAATGACGACATCAGTGAGTCACATCAAATGCTGTTTTATCCAAGTGTGCTGGAGTTGTTTGGAAGTTTAATTCATACAAGCACCGAAGAATCATGTGTTGTATATTTAAGTTATTGTTTGTTGTTTATAGTGTGTCAACAGTTACATCTAGAAAATAAAATGACCAGTTTGATTAAACAATTACTGTATTGCATACTTTTAAAGCAAAACCATATTGTTTGCTGGACCTTTTTCAAACTCAAAGGGAGAGTTTAGCTACCCTGTAGTGTGGTTCTGTAAAAAGCTTAAGAACAATAAATATCTTACCTGTTGTTTAATGAATCCTGTTAGGCAAAAAAGACAACAATATTCAAACCAACTAGCTAATGTCACCAACGGATTTCTGTTGTTTTAAAATAAATTTTATTTAAAAATATAGTGGTATGTGCAAAAGGTTAAACCCTAAACATTTACATATTTATTATTATTATTATTATTATAGTAAATTTTATTTGTATAGCACTTTTCTAAATACTCAAAGTTGCTTAATTATTAATTACTATTAATTATTAATTTCACTTCTCATGATGGTTTTGGAAGAAACAGTCCAATATTCCTGCCAGAAACCCCTCAGTGTGCACTGGAAGTGTGGCAGCTAATTGCTGCAGCTGTTTATTGCAAATACCTTTAAATTATTTTTAAAGAACTGTGAAAGATGGAAGTGATCCTCTTTGGGCTTCAGTTTGCTCAAACTAGTCATTAGTTCATCAAATCAATAATATTTTTACTAGATTTCTCCAAAATGAGTTTGTTCAAAATGCTCTCTTCAACAGGTAAGATATAATTGTTCAGAATATTTTCCCCAAACTTCTAAAAGTTCAAAGTTCGTTCTTTTCATTCTCATCACATGTGGTACATGAGGTGGAACGAAACTGTGTACTCAAGGTCCCAGTTACATCCAACAACAGCAAAAATATAAACTATAAATCTCTGCATCAAATCTCTATTCTCTGCAAAAGATGTAAACTATTCGTCTAAGGTCCTCTGACTTTTGAACTTTCTTGTTCTAATTTGTGTCTCAGTCACATCAGATCACGTGCGCCTCAGGAAAAAGTAAAAAAAAAAAGGTCATCACACTGTATGTCTAATTTTATAATCCGCTCTTGGCATTTATGAAATGGTTTGATACAAATTATTACAGACAGCAAAGACAAACTAAAGGCTAAAGTTGCAAAAAAAAAAAAAAAAGACTGAGTCCATTAAATAATAATGAATAAACTCATATATTGTGTTTATAATGTTGGGGGAAATCAATGTTTGCAAATAACGACTAAAATGGGCAGCACGGTGGCTCAGTTGGTAACGCTGCCCCCTCTCAGTGAGAAGGTTGCTTGATCGAACCCCAACCAGGGACATTTCTGGGTGGAGTTTGCATGTTCTCCATGGGCACCAGTGACCCCATGACCCAAAAAGGAAGAAGCGGGTAAAGATAATGGATGAATGGATGGATGACGACTATAAACGCTAAGATCTGCTCTACGTTGAGTTGTGTTTGATATGTTGACTGCAGCTCAGTGACACGTTCAGCAGACGAACTGAAAAAAGTCTGAATGAGAAAATACAGAACAAACGAATGACAGTATACGTCACTGACCATAGTCTTCTGTCTTGTTTCTTACCCTGAACTGTCTGTGAGGGGTTCTGTTGGATCAGTGAGGCCGGATGGACATTCTGGCTCGATGTCCCCTCTCTTTGGACTCCCGCATCTCTCCCTTGAGTTTCAGTTTGCTCCTCGCCTCCCCTTCCTGCAGGGCTTGGTGTCCTCAGTTCGACCCTCTCCTGCGAAATCTCTTCCTCCTGACTGAGAAAAGCCTGAGGGTCCCAGTCCACATCGGGGGAGTCCAGCAGCAGTTCCAAAGTGTCCGTTCGAATCAAAGGAGAGCGACATCCCCGAGGGCCGGCCCTGCGTCGCTCTCGATGCTGCCGCGAAGCTCCAGCGGCTTCGGCCTCCGCGATGGCGATGTAGGAGAAAGTCTGCTCGAAGGAGTTCTGGCGAGGGGTCCCCCAGATGGACGAGGAGGAAGCCTGTCCTTCGTCATCATCAGGACCTCCCACCTCGTCGTCGTCAGACCACTCTCTGGCTGTTTGCAGCTCAAACACCTCTGACTCCTCGTTTCCACCTAGATGAAGCCCAGACAATGTAGAAAACAGTCAATCCTGCTTAAACAATTTGATCTGTCCCTCGTTTCTTTTACATTTTACTTCCAATCTACAGCTTTTCAAGCTGTCTAACGGTCCTCTGAACTTTTATTTTTGGTTGTTCGGCTGCTTTTTCACTTATTTTCAGTCTAGTATTTGACCAGTTTGAGTTGAATGGTGTTTGTATTAAACCACTTGACTCCGACCTGTGACTCATTCAGGCATAAAAAGACACCAGTGTTGGGTCAACACAGACAACTTAGCAAAGAAACTATTTTGCATTTGGCGTTTAGACACTGATACAACAGTTTGTAAAAAAACAAAACAAAAACAAAAAAATGTTTGTTCCGATTTTCCTTATTGGATCTATAAACACACGCTCTCATCGCTTTTTAATCACACGCTGCACATCATGCCGTCATGGTCGGGTACAAGAACTGGACAGGAAATGAGTGGAAAACTGTAAAATATACCCAGAAAACATGAGAAACTACAGATCAAGCCCACTTCTGGCACTTTTGAAGCAAAGTATTCAAATAAATTTGAGGTGGTCTAAAACTTGTGTATGAAACTGAGCAGTAGATAAAAACACATTTGACTCCAAACATCAGACAGTTGTTTGATTGAAGCGACTGCAGCAGCTACGTTCAGCATGAGGTTAGTTATCTGAATGGACAGTAATCCTGCTCAATGGGTTCATCAGATAAAAGCAACCAGGTGTCATTTGATTTAGAACGACAGTGTGGGATCTAAAGAGAAAACCCTCTTTAAAAATAGAAAAAAATCCTTTCCAAAGAATAAAGGGACATTTCTCTTAACCTGCAGATTTTTTTAAAACCAAACTTAGAAAAACAACTTAACAGCTGAAATCACAAATTTAATGGATGAATGTTTCTTACCGTCAGTACATGGAGGTGTTGAGTCTGGAGTCGATGCCACTGAGCCATACTCCTCTGTGGAAAAACAAAAAGAATTAAACATGAATAAATATGGGCATGAATCCCAATATGAACAAATGTTCCTTGCCAATGATCAGAACTGGTGTTCTATAGGAAAATAACCAAAAAGCTTGACCAGCTGACACTGCAGTCCATTGCTCGGAGAACTGGGAACAAATTCATGTGACTTAAATACTCTCAGAGAATTGAAAAGATGATTTGTTGAGTATATTTCACATCAAAGAATACTGATCTGACAAAGTAATGTTAATGTTTTACTAAAATGACATCACAAACCAGTAAATAAACCCATTAAGAGCATAGATTAGGTCACTGACGGAGGTATTCTGAGCCTTCACTACATTAGATAGCCAGCATGACATTGTCATATAAATCAAGCAGGCAGAGTAAATTAATGCAGCATATTTTGTTCATCAGTTGAAGGAACACAAGCAAAAATGGAGCCACTTTAATCTATTAGGTCAGCTGCACACTCAGACAATTGCATGCAATAAGAGACAAACAGGGAGCGATAAGCAGGAGTCCTAACACGGCTGCATGCAACGGCTTCACAACCAAATCAGGCAAAGATAAGGACAACTAAATAAGGTGCTACTGTTTCTGCAGCCGTCTGTTCAGTGTTTGTTTAAGGTACAGGCATGAGAGAGGAAGAAGGACTGAGCTAACACACACACACACACACACACACACACACACACACACCGGTACAATGCTCAG